ACGAATGCCACTGGCCAAGTGACACACGCCCTAGCCTTCTCGGCTATCTGTGCTTGAAGACTGGGGAGTCAAAACCCGGTATTTAAGCTGTCGCCAACGATTGCGAACAGATGGCGCTGCAGATGGTTGTTCAATGCGTTACTAGGTAGCAGCATCAGCTAGTCACGGACTATTTAGATGCAATCTTTTAGTTTTAGTAGTAGTAAATGTGTTCCTGAGACTTTGCTGCAAAACATTAGTTTCCCTAAAATTGCTATATTACAATAACCTCGTCCAACTAAATCAGGGTTAAATTCAATATTACATTGTCTTTTAATTTTGTGAGATTTCGGTGGGGATGCGGAATACTATCCCCCGGAAAACTACCCCCCCAGGTGAAACGTGACGTCACAAAATCTGCTAACTAACCAACATGGAAGCCGTGTCCGCGACTGGAATACTACCCCCCCCCCCAGACAAATCATGCTATGTAATTTTAATTTTAATTAGAGTAATTCAGTTGGATAATAGAAAAGACATGTGGTGAATATAAAACAGATTTTCTAAATGTTACAGCAAGTTTGGTTGGTTAGGTTAGGTTAGATTAGAACTGTTTGACAACTAAATTTGAGTGTCCGTGACTGGAAAACTGCCCCCCCGGTCTCTGACGTCAATATGACGTAGGAACCTGCTTGGGGGGGTAGTTTTCCGGGGGGCAGTCTTCCGGCGACCCATTTCGGTTTCAAATAATGCTATCAGAACATAAAAATTTATAGGAAAACCAGGAAAATTACAACAAAAACTAAGTTTTATTTGATGTTTACTACAAATACCGGGATTTATCTTTCTTATATATTTTCTTATTGTGTTATTATTCAAAATTAGCCTAATTAATAAAATAGTGACAACATGACAGTTAAAATTCAACAACGGGTAATGGAATTAAAAGGCAAACAAAAAAGTCTTACAAAATATGAATTATTGGCCTAGCACTGAAAGGGTTAAATGTTCTAAAATAATTTTCAAATTTATGGTTAGGTCTTTTAGAGATTAAATTGTATAACCAATGTTATTCATGTATATAAAATGTATAAAGTGAATAAAGATAATTTGATTTGATTTGATTTGTTTGTTTTTTGTTTGCCTTGCTATTTTAAATACTTCTTTTCTTTCTTCTTTTAGAGAATCTGTAATCCAACTGTTTTTATTGTAAGTTTTTATCCTAGTCTTTGGAAATATAAGATTGAAATAGTACATAAAAGTTTTGAAGAAAGCATTGAATTTATCCTCAACATTTGCATAATAGACATCACACCAGTCTTCCATTACCAAATGGTTTTTTAATGTTTCCAGATTTTTTTGTGAAAAGGTCCGTTTGTACTTTATAGTAAAGTTATTATGTTTCTTACTATTTTCATCTCCTAAAACCAAAGATTACACATGCTACGCAAAATAGATATTGCAGCCAAGGCATTTTTGTGATAGCAATTTTCATGCGAGGCCTAGCGAATGTCTTCACAACCAAAGACCTAATTGCAGACATGACCAGTTGTTATTTACTTACTAGCTGTGTGCCCGTTCTACGCACGGGGATATTATTGTAGTCAGTTGAAACCTTATTATATTAAGAACAGCAGTTGGTTTGCATATTTTCAGATATGCTGGCAAAACTATTATATATAAACCTTCGCAAATACAGTATCTGACTTAAATAAAGTTTCCCAGCCGTATACAACACTGATTCAAGGTCTTCTTTCTGGTTATCAAACTCAAGAACAGTTTTATACACAAAACACAAAGAATCTTTGGTTCCTGACCTGAATGATGCCTAGTTATTTAATTTCATTTACGGTTACACTATATTATTCCACTTGTGATTAATTAAATCCGTTATGTAAGAAAAACGTTTTTAATCTCACTTGGTTGGGATTTGCCTTCACAACGTGATCGGAAATGGATGCATAATCTTGAAAATTAAGAAGTTAAACGGGGCAAAGCCCGCGGGTTACAGCTAGTATACTTTATAGTTCAATGCTGTAAAATTATTATAACATTGTAAGCTTATTATATCACTGAAACCTTGCAATTGTAGAAGATTTCTATTCACGTATGTTTACATCAATAAAACTTTTGCTACATATTGTTCTCGTTTAGCTTAACTTAGACACTGTAATTTTAAATCAAGTAATAGTCATTTTTGTAAAAAGTAAAAGTTATGGTACATTTATGACAGGTCTGCCCTTAAAAAACTAGAGATACGATGACGACGGGCCGGCCAACGTGTTGCAGTAGTTGTGTATAGGTGTTCTAATCCTGAGCGTGACCGAACATTTCCGTACTCACCCGAACTTGAATAGGTAATGCAGATCGAGATTTGACACAGCTTCTCTGTTGAGGGACCACCCAACTACGTGAAGGTGGCCCCATTCAAAAACGACTTGGCACAAAACTTCCGTAAGCTGCAATTTTTATTTTGCGTAGCATGTGTAATCTTTGCTAATACATGTAGTATTTGCCCGTCATGTTCAGAGAGAACAGTCACAATCCCCTCAACTTCTACTCTATCACAGTTTATATTAGTTATTACATTGTCAATACCTGTGCTGGTCTCTTCTGTTACCCGAGTAGGAAAGTTGACATAGTACCTCAGACCAAACCGTTTTAATACATTTACAAATTCCCTCTTAGGTTTCCCACTCTCCAAAATGTCAATATTAAAATCCTCCGCTGTGGTAACATTTTTATGATTTTAAGAACTACTAGTGTACATTTTGCTCGAATTCGATCAATTGCAAAGTGTTGCAAAAGTTATTTCAAAACAAATAACAGTCATATTAACAATGAGTTCAAAAGATTAAACTCAAAGATTATCGGTGTGTAACTCTAATTTCTGACTACAGTTGGAGTTTAATAACAATGATTGTTTCCCATGTTAATCTTTATGGAGAAATTCGAAACTTTAAAGGACCCCAGGGCCTCACTCTCTAATTATTTCCCTAAAAAGAAAGTTTCCTGCACAACTTCACGCTTTGCTCTTTCCAATGACACCAAAAACATGACAATCGGTTCAGTAGTTTCGGAGGAGTAATTGTCACAAAGAACCTGCTTGCGTATTAAATAAGTATAATAGATATAGTTTTGAATTGCTAAGTCCAGCCTATCATTAAATTCTAAATAGCTACAGCATGGTGATCTATATATAGGCCTACCCATTAAAACCAAGTTTAACTTTTTACATTTCACTAAACCTAGGCAACCTCAAACATCTTGTCTAGACATAAACTATATAACTGTTGAATTACCAACTTCTAACTAGTTAGAATTTTTGACTAACTTTCCCAACTATGGTCATATCATATAACAGACATATTATTTCTTCAGATAAGTCTACACTTTTATAAACAGATGCTAATAATAAGAAGAAAGAATCTAATGATGAATGGTTTTTCCTAAATCCCTTTTAGTTGTTGTTGTTATTTATTATTCTTTTGGCTTCCAGAAAGGGCAAGAGCCTATTAAGGAATATGATCTCAAATAACTTGGAAAACACAGACTGAACTGCTACTGGCCGGTAGTTACTGGGGTTATCCTTTTCACTTTTCTTATGTATCGATTGGGACTATCTTTGATATTTTTATTCTTTCTGGAAAAGAAAAAGAATGGTTAACTTTATCCAGTAATTTAAAAACAGTTAAATTTCTTGTATCTAAAACTATTTCTGAAATCTTATTTATAAAAAATATTTTTTTTAATCACTATTAAAAACCACAAACTGAATACATTTAAACCCACTTTAATAAGACTTAAAAATCAGATATTGTAGTGCCTGTCTATTCATGTATCACTTCCAGAGCTAACTCCATGTCAGATGTTGAGGTCATCACTAAAACAGAAGAGTATTTTGAAGGCTTTCCAAGTGTTTACCATTTGGACGGCATATAGAGCTAAAAGGAGATCGATTATGTTTAAAAATAAAAACCATCCCAAAAAGATGTGTTATTTTATATTTTCTCTAATGACTTATTGAACCACATTGTACCTTACAGTTTTTTGGAATTTTCTCTGTAATCTTTAATCCTACAACAATGCTTTGACATACAAACTTAGACCATTAATAACATTAAATTCTAAGAACCAGTAAATTAAAATGATTAAAACTAAATCAATTATGACTTACACTGAGAGGGGAGATTAAAAAATTCTCTTCGAAGAAATAAAAATCTTTCTCCACAAAATAAGGTTTAAGCTTTCATATGAAATTCTTACTGCTTTGTTCATTTCTAATTTTAATATTTTCTAATGTCCAAAAGTAATTTCAAAAAATAAATACCGTACTAAAGGTAAATCAATAAATCAATATTGTCTGATCCAATAAACTAAAAAAATTAGGCCAATAAATACCGATGCTTAAACAGGGGCAGATGTATGTATCTGCTGCCCCTAGGCAAAAGGCCACCCTCCATCCACCAAACGGTTGTCCACGATTTGGTCAGTTGAGAAAATCTTATATTCTTTGATGTCAGCAGCTGCAGCCTCATTCACTATTCTCAGTCACAGTACCTACAGTTTCCCTCTAGCCGTGGTATGTAGCGCCATTGATGAATATACAGGTACTGTAGGGTAGACACTCAATGGAGGCTACTTGATTAGTGCTGTTGCAGAGTAGCCTCAGTGGCCCGAACTACTCCACCTCAGGCATGTCGGTAAAACAGTTTGGTTGTTTTTAATATTGCTTTCATTGTAGGTTGTAAAATGTCATTTTTGTGGATGAAATATAATACATTTTTAATACGAAATTATTAAAATGTCCGTACAGGCGCATTGCACTACTGACCGACTACGTCGCCAAAATCGGTAACAACTATTAGCATTACCCGTCCCCTCTTATATGTGTAGACTCAATGGTAGCGCTTATTGCCAGGCCTGGTGCCGCAACCAAACTGTGCCTTGTGGAAAATGCAGCCCGGTCTTTGAAGGGTATTGCAACCAACAAAAAAGTAATAATGTCACGTTTTTCACAGGCTTGTCTTGCCATTGATGCAGTCATATGCCAAAGCTGGAGAATTCACATTCCAAGGAAAACTGAAGTCTGCTCTAGTGGATAATGCCATCTACTACGGCTCCTATCTCTTTTTGTGTGGAGTTTTACTCATTTACATTGCTATGAAACCAGGGCTTCATCTTGATGGGTAAGCAATTAAAGTATAAACTTTTGTTTGGAAATCAGTCCCGGGTCAAGGTCTTGCCTTACCACTAACAATAATAGCTTCTTCCCTTCAGGAAAATTTGCACAAAAAAATCAGTACTATTTTTACTATCTATCTATCTATATATTAATAGGCATGTTTCTTTAAAACCTTTTTTCTCAGCTCGTTTGCATCGTAGGGAAAATCTACGCATACTGTTAGAAAGCTATTTTCCTGTAGGTGTGCAGAATCCCTTTATAAATTAAAATAGGCCCAAAGATAAGCACAAAAAGTTAATTTGAAATTAACACGGGCTTTATGGGTTGCCATGCTGGTGAAGAAATAACAACGAAATATAAACAAACAGAAAATCAAAACAAATGTAAGACACTCCAATCACATGTTTTATATACAGTGTGAGGTGAAAATAGAGAAGTCTGTACAGTGCAATTGGATTTTTTAGCTAGAAGTGGTTAAGCTGTGGTAGAAAACCTTTGAAGATGAACCTTTTTAGTGCTATCATGTGTTCCTTACGTGTCAAATTTTGAGGTTAAATCAAAACAAACAAACTGGCATAATATATTCTTGGAATTTGACAATAATTAAATATACTTACTCTACTGTAATAAAATAACTTTGTCATTAGAGAATATTTACTGTGAAATAGAGACATGATTACTAATTCCAAATCAAATAATGAATAAATTGTTAATTAATTATTGCCTTCAAATTAAGTGATGGTTGCTTTGAATAATTTAACATGAGCAGATATTAAAATATTGCATCTTCTTGCAAAATTAATTTTGATCATTATATTAACCCTCCGAGTGTCATGCGTCGCTGCAGCGACGCGTAACACGCTTTGTGTAGTGTCATGCGTCGCTGCAGCGACTCACGAACACTGTTTACGGCGAAGGCTCTATGACTGACAAAATCGGATTGAACTGGATCGAGTTTGGTATCGTTCTTTTCATTATATTCTAAGCTTTCTCCAGAGGTCTGTCTCTAAGCGCTTTATGTTCTCCGAGCCGATCGTAATTGTAGCAGACAGCTGACGTGCATATTTGTAAACAGGTTAGTTAACCTCGGACCGATGACTGATGTGTTTTATTATGTTTATCATTGTTTTAGTGTTAAAAATCAAAAGTAGTGATATATGTGGTGCATTATAAGAAGATTTAAGTGATTTTGAAGGGCTGGTTGATGATCCTGAAGAAGTAGGTAGTGATATTGATGTAAATTATCAGCCAGATTCCTAGCTATGGTTAGGCTATGCATTCTTAGCTAAACGCTATGTACTGAAATCTGTTTTTTGCCCATAACTTATTTATTTGCAAATCTACTTCCTTATATTATTATATATTTGTAAACCTCATAAAATTTAGAACAAAGTGGCTATTTTCAAATATTTATAGGCCTATAATTTATACAATTTCATTGAGCGCGAACTTATTTTCTTTTCAATTTTTCCAAAATAATTTTTATTTTTACCTAAAAAAATTTTTTTAAAACAAATATTCCTTAGGTTTTATGTATGATATTGAAGCCCATGATTTTCCAAACAAAATGGTATATAGAACAGTAGAATTAACATTGTTTTAAGCTTTTCAGATCCGTTTTAATAAAACCTTGCAAATGCGCCAAAAATAGGTGGACATTAAGGCCTAAACTATGGACACTCGGAGGGTTAATAGAATAATGTAGTTGCTGTGACTGGGATACACATGATAAACTGTTGGGACATAATGATGATTTACGATTCGGAAAACGTTGTAAGATAGGCCAATGAAGCATCTTACAAATTCTATTCTGTGCGTTGCCAATAAATATCATTCAATCTTATATCATATCAAATATTATTCATTCATTCTAGGGATGGACGAGATTGAATTTTTAGTTCGAGACGAGACGAGACGAGATTTTTTATTTCTCATAAAATTTCGAGACGAGATCGAGACGGGATTTTCCTTCTCATACACAACGGGAAATGCACGTTCAAAATTTTTACCTGATTTTTTAACATTGTTAGATGACTGTTTAAATACAAAAATAATGATAATAGGCAAGAATATTTACAATCTTTTATTAAAAAACATCAGCATAACATTTTTTTATTAATCACGCCTAACTTATTAAAAATGCCTACGATTAGGAAACATAGTGATATCAGTTAGGATAGAGTTCAACTTATCCTAAAATAAAATAAATCATAAAATAAAAGCAATATTAATTTTTATAAAATAGTTACTTGTTTTGACTTTTTATAGTAATAAAACATTCCTCACACTGCTTACACTTAATAAAACTTCTCAAATATTATTAAAGTAATATTATTAAAATAATTAAAGTAATATTTACATTTATAGAATTAATTAAATAAGAACGCCTTCGAAAAAGGAAACGCAACTACAACACGCTCCTGTATTGCGGGTATTGCATTGGCTTTCTGCAGGCGTTTTTAATATTTTTTTTTTTTTTTTTTTTTTTAAATTCTTGTCTTGATAAAAATCTCGGCCAAAAAGACATCTCATCTCGTGTAACGAGATTTAAAATTTCCCGAAAATTTCCCGAAATTTCGAGACTTGACCATCCCTAATTCATCCATACATTCGAGTTTGGTTTATAAAATGCAGTAGCCTAAATACTGGATGTTTTCTAATAAATCAGACAATGACATATACTAAATTAAATTATTTGATCTTAAATGAAATTTCTTTCGTAAGTAATACAACACTGTCCCTAATTGACAACGGCAACATTCCAGTTTGTTTGTTTGTTTTTTTGGATTTAACCTCAAAAATTGTCATGGGAACATTGAACACATGATCGCACCATATCGATGTATATCGATGTAACCAGAGAGCACTTTCTGTGCTCTCTGAACCTAACACCTAATTAGACATTCCATCCCCATGTTAAAGTTGTAGTGTAGCTAGTTTTTTTTATCAAATTTGTCTTGGTTGATGTGAGCCACCGACAGATTGTGCTGATCTACATTACTGATTTCTGTTAAATACACGATGGTTTTTACCAAGTCAAACTGATGGACCTACTTATTATCAGCTATAGCAACTGTAATGACCCATCAACTATGTAAGTAACAAAAAATAAGGTAGAAAATAGAATTTTAGATACTAGCACATTCTGTGACTGGCTCACACAACTAAATTCTTTGTTAGTAAAAAATTGGCGACAGCTGATGCATATAAATGGGATGTCTTCTTCTGTATCCAATAGTCAATCATCGATGTTATTACTATTATTATACTATCTATATTACCGTACTACAATGGATCGCACTCACTACAGCCTATAGCCAAAAAGGTTTATCCGCAAAGATATTCCACCGTACCTCAACCGCTTCTAGCTAAAAAATCAAACCGTACATTTGTATGGTCAAGTTTTCGACCACTGGACGACCTCTAGTTTGATTAAATATGCAATGTTATTGCATTCTATATATTTTTGCCCTTAGTACAGTACAATAGAATAGAATAGAATAGACACTATTTTCATAACCTACGGGATCGGTACCATGGTCAGAACAGAGGAACTTTTCCATGACGGTGGGATTTGTCTAGAATTTTGCTGCGACTGCAGAAGACGATAATAATGTTCCCGTGACGGCAAGAGACATCCAATGTTTGCCACGAAAGGGATTGGGGAGTTAGAGGTAATAGCATATAACAACGATAAAGTGTCTGTGGCCACAGGAGACAATAATGATTTTCCCGTGAGTTCACGAGATGTCAAATATTTTGCCAAAACAATGATAATTTTTTCTTATGACTGCGGGATTAGCTAGGATTTTTCTACAATCGCGGAAGACGGTGATGTTCCCGTGACCTGGGGAGACGTTTAATATTTTTCCATGATCGCGGGAGACTAGACTATGATAATTTTTCCGTGACCCCTGGAGTTGTCCTAGATTTGGTCGCACGGGATGATTATAACGTTTCTGTAATCGTGGAATACAATGATGTTTTCATGACCCATGGATAAACAAGTTATTTGCTGCAACTGCGGAAGCAATTATGTCAAAGCTACTATAGGAATGGTCACAACATTACTGCAATAACATCACCAATAGTTGATCATATGGTCGGATTATGAAATGAAATGAAAATCCTTCTTTATTGAGGCGAAACCTTAAAAAACTATTAATAACAACAAAATAATAAAAAATACAATTAAGTTTGTAACATAACAAGTCTTAAAATAGCAAAAATTTATTAATCTTCCCTAACATACAGTCACACACACATACTATATACACCCTCTGCTGCATCTAGGCCTAACCCAAACAATCCGGTCAAGGTAATAATCTTTCAGCACCTCCATCAGTCGGGATCGGTTTTCTATGGATTTGATGGGAAAAGTTATGGAGTTCCATTGGTGGCATGCTGTTACAGTAGAGTCCCGCAAACTTGGCACTCGATAACCCGGCAGTCTGGATAACTCGGCCATCACCGTCTCAGAAAATTATTGATTTTTTGAGTCCGATTTAAACATGGATTCAAGCCAGCCCAAGTCAAATCATTCGCAACTCGTACCAAAGATTTGTTGTACTATATCTGATGACTTAACACTGACTTGTAATATAAATATAAATAAAAAAGGCGGTTAAAAAAAAAAAACAAATGGTCCATTGAATATTGAAAACCACTAAGCGCTACTAGAAGGGATTTGGCGCATACACAGAACGTTTTGCTCCTTGAAACATCAAACATCTTGCTGTATGGGATCCATTCGTCGAGCAACTGTTCAAATGTTTCAAGGTGTTGCGAGGCGCCTCCCAACGTTTGCTTGATCAGTGTGCAGCGTCCCATTAAAATACATGGGGCGCTCGTACCCAGGGAAACATTTTGCCTCGCAACACTTGCTTCAGGTGAAATGCTGGATCTGTGTGTGCCCGGCCTTAGATTAATGTATCTGCAATACTTAAATACTATTAGAAGGGAAGGAAACAGGTCCACAAAGAAGGAAATGGTAAAGGAATTAGT